TTAAAACAATAAACAAGTTCCCCAAAGTGTTTTTACTTTAATTTTTGGTAGAAAATACATAATTGTCCCTGGTCTTCCTTGTAATTCAGAAGTTTTAAAACTGTCCTAAAAGGTAAAAGAGCTTGATAAAGGAGGAAAAACCAACGAAACTTTGTTAGTAGGCAAATAAATTGGTATAGGCTGAGCATTCCTAATCCAAAAATCCAAAATCTGAAGTACTCCACAATCTCGAACTTTTTGAGTGCCAACATGATGCTCAAAGGATAAGGGATACTCAATCTGTATAAACTTCTTAGAGGGCAGTTTGGAAATATCTATAAAAATTTTAAATGCACATACCATTTTACCCAGCAATGCACCTAGAAAAACTTATTCTACAGATATGGTCACACATATAGGTAAACTACATTCAATGACATTCAGAGATGAGTTATACACTACTACCTAAATTCCATGCTATTAGGATATATAATATGAAATTGTCAATATTCAACTACTTTTGATCTGCAGGAATGACCAATTCAAACTAATACTAACTGTGACAACAATTAAGTTCATTCAACAGTTATTAATAGAGTGCCTAACTATGTACCAAGCACTCTTACAGGCCCTCGGGATTTGTGAGCGATCAAAATGCACAAAGAAACCTGTCTTGGTGGAGCTTACATCCAAAATGACTGGTAACTGTATGAATAAATAAAAGAAGTCAACTAGAAGAAATGAAGAAACCTTTATTTTGTTTCAAACTTTGATACTGAGTTTGAGGAAAAAATACATCATTTCACTATGACTTAAGTTTCTTGCTAACTACTTACCTTGTATTAACGGAATATATGAAATTTTTACAAAAGGATTTCAGGGTCACAGAAAAGAAACACTGTGTGTTCATTCCTGATTTTAACCTTACACAGAAACTTTTAGTTTCTTTACCTCTGAAGAAGTTCCATGTAGGATTTTGTCAATATTTCATGTTCTTCAGCCACAGACTCTAACTTTCTATTATGTTGAAAGAGATGCTCAATATCACTCTGGGCTCTCTCTGATTCAATCTGTTGTGACTTCAGCAAAACACTAAGTTCTTCATTTTTTCTCTCAACCTCTCTCAACATACCAGCAAGTGTCCGTGACTTAAAAAAGAAAAAAAGAAAAATAACACAGACTTTCCCACTATCATTTATATAATACTCTCAAGTTTC